GGGGCTCTCAAAAATATGAAAAAATCACTGAAAAAATTGATAAAATGAACAAGAGGGAAAGGGTGAACACTGTGAAGAACAAACTGAGAAAAATAATTTTAGGAAAAATTTCGCCTCAGCATTACATATCCTTTTTTAAAAATTTTTTACATAGTGGGGTTCTGAATACAACCCAAAGCCTTATTTTTGTTTCGGAAAAAGAGAGGTTGGGTTCAAATCCTTGGATCAAAAGCTTTCCCATTGAGGATCAAAGGGGGGCCCCTTAAAGTGATTTTACCTTTTACATTGTGTCCCCTAAGAAAAAACTTGTAACAATGTAAAACTAAACCCGTTTTCATTATGTCCCCTTATGCACACTAATCCCCTTTATTAAAGACCACTACACTTTAAAATACTGGGTCTCCCCTTCTTTGTTGCTGTTTTTTACCTTAAAATCCCCGGGTGCACGGGAAAGGCCCAAGGTTATTTTGCCTTTTTATTCTTTATCAGAGCATGGTATACGCGGTGATAGCACGTGTAATAAAAAACAACTCAATTTCCCTAACATATCGATCTGTCATAAAAATCTACGTCTCCAAAATTTTGTAACATACGGGTATATAAATTGCAACACACTATGTACATAATCAGGCAACGGTTAAGGGGGTTGAGGGTCCCCCTTTAACCCCTTAAAAAGAGTTTGTCTTTCACTCCAGCGGGGGGTGAAGGGTGTAGATTCGTGCCCCAAAAATTTTAAAACTAAAACAGTGACAAAACCATGATTTAAACCCCCACCCTTTCGGGGTTTAAAAAACTTGACCCAAAAAGTTATTCGGCCGTGTCAGCACGAAAGTCGGGGCCATTTAGTAGTAGATACTACCCATTGGGGGTCGCCAGTGTACATAGGCGTGTTACCTAATAGGTGGGGTTGACTGAGGTTTTACCAACCGAGTGATACCCCTTGTGGTTTTAGGTTCTTTTCGATTTTAATAAAAATTTTTTTCCTGTTCGTGGGGGAAACTATTATACCCCTTTGATATATCATCTTGTATACACGGAGATAATATACCCTGGGCCCGTTTATATATTCCGTTTATATATGTGAGAGATGTTACCCCCTATTATGGGGTCAAAGGTTAAGTGCGTCAAATTTGGACTTTTTGTCCACTAGGCTTTAAAACCCCTTTTAACAACCTTTATTTTTATTTTAATTTATATTTGGCGGGTTGTGGCATGAAAAACATAACCTTTGAAGATGCCTTCTTAGCGCGCTCATGAGGGGGAATTTTATGTTAAAATTTGAAACTCTGATTGGATTGCCCTACTTTTAAAATTTTTTTATTAGCCCATTTTTGTGTAGTGGTAGTAGAAAAATTTTGTTGGGTTTGATGAGGACGTTGATCATTTTCATCCCCTTCCATGATTGCAAGTAGCCTTTTCTTTGATTATGGGAAACCCCTTGCAGGGTGTACCCGAATAGAAAACAGCAGTAATTGGGGGTTTCCTGCCCCGAAACCCCTCCAAGAGCAAAACACCGACCTTTCACCCGAAATATAAATTTGCACTCAAACCCTTCTACGACTGCGGAACAATAAAGAAGGGAGTGAGACTGTGGTGTGGCAAGAAACGCACGCCGAAGACGTTGGAACCCGTGCGACCTGATATTCTTTTCATGACCTAAAATTAGTTGG